GCAAACAATGAATCATGGAACACTTCAACAAAAACTAATGATGTACTGTATGGTGACTAACATAACATAATAAAATTTAAAAAATAAAAAAAAAATAGATGTAGATTCAATGAGAAATAAAAATTTGTAAATTGACCCCACCCAACTATATCTGCCCACTTTAAGAATGACATTTTAGCCCAGTCAGCATTATCAGTCTCTAGCTGATCACATAAATTTGAACAATTCTGATGATTTAATATAATTACAATAAAATTAAGTTATATCTACCAAAACTTTGGATTTTATTAAGTTGATCAAATTAACATTGGTAAACTCTTTAAATCCTACTCAACACCAGTGATAAATGACAATTTGGCCAAATTAGACTGCTTAAAATAAAGAAACTAAGAATAATGACCTAACGGACGGTGCCAAAGAGAATTTTGAACAATGTATTAATAAAAGATACTTTTACAAAACTAAAATGTCTAAAACTATTTTGTAAAAATGACCACTTGAAATGAAGCATGTCACAACTTCTAATGTTCACAAGATTTAGCAAAGATGTTCCTTTTTTAAAAAGATAAAATTATTTTGATAAATAACTTAGTTATTTTAAGATAAAGTCCTAATTATTTTTTCTACTTTTCATGGTGAAATTCTGTTTCTTCTTCTTAAGTAGATCTTAAAGTAATAGCATCCTACCTGTTAGTTTATCTTAGACAACAGAAACCTCCTACAGTATTTCCTAACACATTTCAGTTTTATAAAAGTCAAGGAGAAGTTGATCTTCAATCAACACCCTGAAATAAATTCTATTTTTTATTATAATTAATATATTAATATAATATTATAATTAATAAATCTAATTATGTTAAATACCTGTGTACCAAGAATCCAACAACACTAACTGGTCACTCCTTAGGTGCTTAGCTCCCTCCAAGGGATAAACGTTCCAGATGAGGTTGAAGGTCACATGTACCTTTTAAATGACTACTGAATGACAATTAACAGGGAATTCCAAAATATTTTTCTGTATCTCCTTGAGAAAATAAGAGACAATGTGGGCTTCACCAGCATGGCAGACACCCACCAATTTTCAGCACTTAAAACCTGATCAAGTATTGTTTTTGCCCAAGAAATGCCCCAGATTAACTTCAGCCCCATTTCTTCTAAAAATTTGTCCTTGTAGAGTGAAACATGGTCACATTGCAAACGACCACCTTAACTAGTCTCTTGGTTGAAAAAACCCTCACAAACACCTCATTAAGCACAATTTTACTTCGCATCTGCCTGATTCCTAATAAGCCTTCCTCTGTTCAGATGGACTGGAACTGGAAGTTGATAAACCCTCACATAGAAAAAAGGACCATTGTACTACAGCTCAGCAGAGACAAAATATATCTTTAAAATTTTACAATACATGCATTCAATAACTACTGAATCACCTAACTCCAAAATAAAAATGCATGTATTTTTCCATGACCTTGATGTCATTTTAGATTTATTTTCTGGTAAATAAAACCTACCTACTCAGGGAAGCAAATAAACAATCTCTTCTTTGACCATTGTCAGAATTTAGAATTGATTACCAAAAGCCTTATTAAAAAAAAAAAAATCTCCCATGGTATGATTTAATCTTCCAGCAAAGTAATTCAGATAAAAGCCAAGTAGGCACACCATAGTCTATAAGCTTCCTATTACAACATCTTTCTAATTATATACATAAGTAGTGTGCACACTTACAGCCCCAGACATTATATGTATATATGTATTTTTCCACCTGATAATGTACAAATTATGTCCCCAGATACTTACACCCAAGTTTAAGTCTTTTATGTATTTTACAATTATAACAATATTTTATACACAACTACTAACTTGGGGAATATTTGAATGGTTCTGCCCAATTTTAAGTCACAGGAACACTGAAATGGCCTTTTAGCCATTTGGGGGAAAGTACTATCAGAAAGAAATAGGATGATGCCTTTTACAATCATTTACAGGATAACTCAAAAATCCAAAGAAATTTACTTGCCTCTCAAATCCAAGAAGTCAGTGTTCTTTATTCTACCTTTTCAGTGATTCAGTCTATTCTAAGGATACAGATTCTAGATGTGTTCTAATGACATCTTCCTATTAAGTTTAATAAAAGCTTTAATATTCCTACACTGAATCTACTTATATACAATGAGAAAATAATGAGTGAACAAATACTACTCATGGAGTAACACCTCTCCAATCTTAAGTAAACATTTTACAATGTTTATACTGTACAGACTTATAATAGTACTATCCTCAAAGTAGTTCTGGGAGACATTTACTCCTTAACTAGAGGATTATCTTTTTCCTTAGTTTAATACAGAAACACCAGAAAGGAAAAAAAAAAAAATGTGGCACTTACTGGGATACATAAAATAGAACTCCACAGGAATAAACAGAAAATTAAATTCAAATATTTATGGAAAAAATACAAAGAACAGAAGTTGAGATACAAGAGTAGCAATGAAATAGAAGAACAGTTTTAAATCTGTGTGTGTGCGCACGTGTGCACACGTGTGCATGTTTGATGGCAAAAGGCAGAGGCAAAAGATAAACAGAAAATTCACAGATGACACAGAGTCCCCCCTGGGTGCCTGCCACAGTTACTCGCACTAAGAAAAGTCAGCTCACAGGAAATGTGCTTTTGTGATAGATCTAATAGAGTATGTGGGAGAAGATAACCAAGTACTCAAACTCAAGTACTTAAGGGAATGTTGAAAATGTCTGACTCAAACTCGCAAATCAAATTAAAGCAGTGGTAGTGACCTTCGAGTCATCTCATCCAAATTGGAAAGAGGAGGAGCTAGGCTGTTAAGTGCCACAACGTATGCCTGCCAAAGAGACAGCAAGGGCATTTTGCATTTATGCTTTCATTCATTCATTTTAATCCTTACAATGATTTAAGAAGTAGAGTTATCAACCTCATTTCTAAAATGAGGAAAGCAAGCCTCAGGAAAGTTAAGTAACTTGACCAAGGAACTGAGGAATTCTGAGTTTAAAGCCCTTGTTCCCCTTCATGATACTGATACATGAAACTTCAGAATATTACCTAGGAACATAGAGAGATTTCTAAGCAAGTTAATGTAGAGGGAGGAATAGAGGGCCATACACAGATTTTTAACGTGCTTGTACCCTACAGAGCCTTAGAGTATTCCAGCATTATGTGTATTTCCTAATGTCCCCCAAAACACCCCAATGAAGACATAAACATCCAGTAAAATCAGTCACTTGTGGAACTTTAGTTTCCATAATCAGCAGGATCCATGAAACTTATCTTTAGGGTATATAACCAAATACAATAGGCCAACAAAATCAATCTCCCCCAATTGCTAATTTGTTTATACTTGCAATGCTAGACTTAAAACTTTTTTGTAGTACAAATTATCTTTTCTTTCTGTATTAATGATCTTACTTAACAAGAACTAAATTGCTACATTATTGGGATGGGACTGAGCTTCCGAAACTCGGCAATAGCTATGTTTTGAGAATTTCACATTTGGAACCCCTTCTCACAGCAAAGTGTCACAGACTACAGACTACTCAGCTAGCCTCTGATTTTATTCCTTCTGGCTGTGCTCTCCGAGATCCCTCTCTTCTGTGCAGTTTAAAAGGCCAATTAAGTAAATGGTATACTAAACATACACTTTAAGTCTTTCACAGGAAAGACCTCCCCAAAATTTTCATGGGCCATTCTTTGAGAAATTCTCTCTCATCTGTTTCTAACTCTACTTTTGCTGTCCCTATGACATAGAATTATCAAACCGTCCATTTTCTTCCACATATTTTCCCTCTTTTTTTTTACTTTGGGATTTCTTTTCCAATGGCATTCTGCTAACATGCTAATAAAGTTCTTTCATCTTATCCGAACAACCAGTCAGCTCAGCAGTATATTTTGCAGTTGTAATGAAGAAAAAGAAATGGGGGCGCCTGGGTGGCTCAGTTGGTTAAGCGACTGCCTTCGGCTCAGGTCATGATCCTGGAGTCCCTGGATCGAGTCCCGCATCAGGCTCCCTGCTCGGCAGGGAGCCTGCTTCTGCCTCTGACCCTCCCCCCTCTCATGTGCTCTCTCTTTCTCATTCTCTCTGTCTCAAATAAATAAATAAAATCTTTAAAAAAAAAAAAAAAGAAATGAAATTGGTTGCTAGATTATTTTTTTCCTAAACTTGTCGATTCAAACAAATAATTGCAGTAACAAAGGAACACAGTCATAGAGGTCATAGCAAGAGAGTAAGCTCAAGAATCCATAAAGAAGAGTTTCTTCTTGGTTTGGATGGATTTCTTCAAGGGTGAAATTTTATTAAAAAGAAAAGTTGATTTCAAGGAAGGAAGCCTAAGTTTGAAGAGTTAAATCTGCATTGGTAAAAAAGATGTGATACATATATATATTACTATCCATCAAAAAGAATGAGGGGCACTTGGATAGCTCAGGTGGTTACACATCTGACTCTTGACTTCAGCTCAGGTCATGACCTCAGGGTTGTGAGATCGAGCCCTGCACTGGGTTCCACACTGGGCATGAAGTCTCTTTAAGATTCTCTCTCTCTCCCTTTGCCCCTCTCCGACCAAAAAAAAATGACATCTTGCCATTTGCAACAATGTGGATGGAGCAAGAAAGTATAATGCTAAGCAAAGTCAGTCAGTCAGACAAATATCATGATTTCATTCATATGTGGAATTTAAGAAACAAAACAGATGAACATAAGGGAAGGGAAGGAAAAATAAAATATAAAAACAGAAAGGGAGGCAAACCATAGAGGACTCTTAACTATAGAGAATAAACTGAGGGTTGATGAAGAGGAGGTGGGTAGAGAGACTGGTTAAATGGGTGATGGGCATTAAGGAGGGCACTTGTTGGGATGAGCACTGTGTGTTATATATAAGTAATGAAACACTAAATTCTGTTCCTGAAACCAATACTACACTATATGTTAACTTGGATTTAAATTTTTTAAAAATATCTGCATTAATTCACTTACTGAAATAACAACAATAGGATATAAAATGGATAGATTACTCTCTTCAAGCATGTTCAGTAATTTCCGGGTTTCCTCAAAATCAGAGGACATAACCTGAAAGACCAGAAAAATAAAAGTGAAAATAAGTTCTTAAATGATTTAAATGTTAATCCAAGGATAATTAAAAATAAAAGGGAAAAAAATGGAGAGCTTTTACACAAACATCCAAAACATTTATCAAGCTTAGTTTTCACTTTTTGAACAACTTTAAAGGATACCCATTAAGGTCATATTAAAATTTAAACTACTCATTAATTCAAACATGTTTCATCTTATCTGCTTCATACCAGGTAACTGAAAATGGTGTCTAAAGAAATATTACCCTCTTCTCATTATGGGAACTAGCTTGTTAGAAAATATTATTTTTCCATTTCAAAAGTTAAAAAATAAAACTTCCAAATACATACTGAATAACACAACTCATCTATCAAAACTTAAATTCAAATAATTAAGAATCAAGAAAAAAATTATCTTCCACATTTACATTCATACAGATCCTCAAGTGCTTCCAATAATTTAAATTCACTACTCACATTCACACAAACGTAATTGTAGCATTGCTCTAAGATGATTTGCTCAAGATCTCTGCTAGCAGGACACAGAGCTCCAGAAGTGACTTTTACATGCTAGGAGAAAGAAAAAAAAAATAGAAGAAAAAGGAGTTTATAAACTAGATAGAAAAACCAAACCAGAACCTAAATGACAGTTAAAAATGAGCACAAAACTACTAGAGACACATAAAGCCAAGAATCATATATAAAAACAAAATAATTCAGGCTACAGTTTATGAAGCTACCAAGAAAAAGACATTTGAACTAGTCCATGAGTAATGATTACTATTTTGATAAACACCAATATAGCTAAAGTAAATAGTTTTAAGTAGGAAAAGCTAGAGGTTATATGCAGGGACAACCAAGTAACTGTTTTTTCTTATTCAAAGGATGTACTGCAGAAAATGCTGGATTATTATTAAAAGGTTGGTTAGACAGGGATTGTTGGATGATTCTGAAAACATGTTAAATTCTACAGTTACATAGATTTAACTAACCTGGAAAGACTAAAAACAGGAAAGGCAGTAAGAAATTATTATAATAGTGTAAGTATGAGAGAAATAAGATTTGAACTAGGACAATGATAGCAAGAGATGAAGAGATTATTACCAGAGGTGGTCCCAGACTAGATTTAGAATAGTACATATATTACAAAAATTTTCCTAATGAGGGGTGCCTGCGTGGCTCAGTCAGTTAAACATCCGACTCTTGATTTTGGCTCAGGGGATGATCTCAGGGCTGTGAGATGGAGTCTGAATAGGGGCTCTCCACTCAGCAGGGAGTTTGCTTCAGATTCTTTCTCCCTCTCCTTCTCCTTCCCCCTCTGCCCCTCCCTGTGCACATGTGCACAGTCTCTTAAATCTTTTTAAAAGAAAAATTTTCCTAATGACATTTTTATTCCATATTGCTCAATATTCTAATTAACTTCCATTTTTTTCTTCTTATAACAATATGAACAAAAATTTAATTACTAAACAAAGGAAGTGTTTTATCTATACTGGTCTAATTCCCCAGAAAGTCACATTTCGGTAGTTAGTACTGGCATTACATTTAGAAGTCTTTACAGTCTACAGTCTATTCTAAAATAGAAAGCTTGTCACTTAGTAAAACATTAAACCTTGTACTTCTAAGAGCATCACATCGTAAGTAGGATTCATCCTAATTCTATGAAATTTTGACAAAATATTAGAGAAGGGGAAATAAAGGTTTTGAGGTCTTAGCAGTGCTAGAAATTAGTTGGCTCATAAATTTCAAGACTTTTCTTTCAGTTTAAAGTTCTTATTGAGGGGTGCCTGGGTGGCTCAGTCAGTTAATTAAGTGTCTGCCTTCCACTCACTTCTCCCTGCTTCTCCCTCTCCTCCCCACTTGTGCTCTCTGTCACTACCTCTCTCTCTCTCTCAAATAAATAAAATCTTTAAAAAAAAAAGTGCTAAATGAGTACAAAGTTCAGAGAGAACATTAAAAAAATAATAATAAAACAGTTCCATATGCATCAGCCATATATTGATAATAAAATAGGAAGAAACTGGATTTCATTGTGTAACATTTAGTTTGTTCAAGGAATCACATATTCTAGATATTATAGGGAGACAATTTTCCAAGAGGTTTCTCATATACCCAAACATTTTCAAAGGCATTAATAGCTAATTTACTCCAGATTGACTTTTCAAAGATGTTTGCATAGCAGGCAGATTTGCAAAGATAGGTACATCTCCTCCTGGAGCAAATCTGTTTATGTTCCAGAAAATAAAGGTAAAGTCATCTCTCTCCCTGAGGCAGATCTGCTTGACATTCCAGAATAATAAAGACAATGTCTCTTTTGTAACCGGAGGATGTGCTGGTTTGCCCACCGTCCCTGAATAAGGCAAGTGCTCCCCAATATCAAGAGTCTTCTTTAATGCACCCCACTGAGACAGCACCTAGTTGTAACTGCATTTCCCTGTAGGAACTGCAATTCAAAAAAATCAACGCTACACTGTTATATTCCTTAATGCTACTGCTGTAACAAATTGTCTTTTCTCTGAGCACAGAGTTTCACCTGAGCACCTGATACTTAAGATATTAGCATGAATGTCTGCATGCACGTATCATATAATTCCTCAGATCCTGCCAAGTTTGACTTAAAAGATAAACGACAATCATATCAGATCTTAACTTCAAAAATGTAAGTAAATTTGAATTCTAAAAAGTGACCTAATTTAAAATTTTCTTTTGCATATATGTAAATAAGGTCTAGGATGAGAACATGAGAGATATTTAGCTTTGTAAGTACTGAAATGGAGAAAATTCTTAAGGACAGGGTATGGGATCCTTGCACACAGAAACATCCTGTTTTTACTGCTAGCAAATAATAAATAGGCATTTTAAACTTACAACAGTTTTTTTTTTTAAGAAAAAAGTCATTTCAAGAAAAATGGTCTATGTTCTTAAAACCAACAACTTGAAAAAGGTAAAAAAAAAAAAAAAATCCAAAAGTTCCACTACCTTGTAACTTCAACGTTCGATAAATATCATTCCTACGACTCTCTATTAATATATGCAGTAGGATAAAAGGATGCAGGAACAAAAGCAGTAATAGATTCTAATGAGATGACATTCCTGTTTTTTTTTTGTTTATCTAGTTAGGAAAGAAAATTGAATAGAGTAAACCTGAAGATGATGGTAAGCTTCAGATTATTTTCCAGAGCACTAAGCTTCTAAATATTAAGAAAAGGTAGCATGGAGAGCATTAAGACATTGGATTTTTAATGGCAACGAACTTCATTTGTCAGTATTTGTTGACCTCCTTCTATGAGGGGGAAACAAATAACACATTTTAACTTCCACCTCAAGCCTGGTTCTGGTCATATTATTTTTACCCTGACAGGATTTATTATACTCACATTCTATTCTAGAACCATAATACCCACAATGCAGACATATCTACATCCCAAAACACTTTTTATACAAAATTTCTCCATTTCTAAGTTCTTTTTAATTCACTTCTTCATGTAATGAACTGTATCTGCAAGGAATTTTTTTAGTTGGTCTTGTTTTTTACAAAAGCCTCGACATTTTTAGATTCTTTGACTTTTTGCTTTTAGACTCAAAGAAGAGACATTTGGGAAGAAAAGTTTGGTTCCCTCTCTCCCTCACAGATCTGTAGTCACTGCTCCACCACCACCAAGCGCCGTGTACTATCCTGATACTTAGACTCCATTTCTCGTTCACCTATGTTACCTGATAGATCTCAACATCAGTAGTTCTAATAATACATGTAGACACTGTATTTTATTTTTCCCCTCATCATCTTTATAATGGACAATTTGGCTGATGGTCACATCCTTGGATTCCACTTGCATTCCCTCCAAAGTTCATAAGCACAGCTTCATTGTATTTGGATAGTGAATATTGTGGAGATGCAAGAGGTCAAGCAGAGTTTTTCTTTAAGTTTTGATTTTGGTTTTTTGGCACCTAGGTCCCTGTCTGAAGAATTCTTTATGAGGAAATTCAAAATCCTAACCAAAATCAGTACATGCTTACTTGGCAATTGTTATTCCTCAATTTTCCCACAGCTATGCCCATTTGGTCTTACAGAATTAGTCATTTCAAGGAAATATTCTTCTAGCTTTGAGAATAAGCATTATCCATATGTTGGATGCCTTTTTCATCATTCACATCTATTCTCTTTAATTTTTACTTAGAGCACACTGTAATTATCTCAAGTTTCCTGCTATAATAACCTGGTATCAGTTGTATTCTATTTCTCATCTGCTAAGTAGTTCTAAAATAGTGTTGCTCTAGTCTTAATTTTATTTCCTCTGATAACTGTATTCATCTCTTGCAATGCCATCTTTGAAGTTTGTTTTTAGCCTTCTTGAATTCAAATTTTTACTGAATTCTACAGAACAAAAGGTATGAGAATATTTTTGGGGTAGGGAAAGCATTGATGTTTCTTTCATATTTTTAAAATCTGATTTGCATGTGCTGCAATTCTTTTTAGTATGAATTATAGAGTTCCCTAATTTTTTTTCATAAGTTGCAGAGTTAAAAAAAAAAAAATGGTGGGCACTGAAAATTTTCCCTACCTCAGCTGCTGTACCACAAAGATTTAAGGGATTTTCTCTGACTTTTCCCTGGCCTTCATTTCAGCCCCTCAATCTACTTTTCCCTCAATTAAAATTTAAGAATTATCTGGATAATCACCATTGCCCTATAACAATGTCTTGCAGATCCATGGGTAGGGTTTAGAAGACAGAATGAGCCAGATCAAGGTTCCAGTAGATTCAGGGACTGTCAAGGGCCCCTTTGTGATTCAAAAACAACAGTGTTCATGCTGTGTCATCACATGATGATAGAGGCAAGGAAACTCTTGGGGGTCTCTTTTGTAAGAGAACTAAGGCCTTCATGAAGGCTCCATCCTCATGACCTAATCATCTCCCAAAGGCCCCACTTCCTAACACCACCACACTGGGGTTAGGATTTCAACACATAAATTGTGGGGGAGAACCCATTCAGTCTATAGCACTTGCGTATTACACATTCTCCAAAAAAAAAAAGTATTCAATAAATGTTAAGAGTATTTTCAGATTAATATTCCTAAAACCGAGCTTCATTTCATTTTTTTCAATTAAAAACATTTAAGAACATTCGATTATATATATACATGTATGTGTTTAGATTAAATCTCAAGTTCTATAATTGTTAAAGTCCTCCATAATCTACTTATATTCTGTTCAAATCCTAACCATGCAACTTTACTTATCAACAGTACTTGTCAACAAAAATATTCTTTATGGCCACTTCCTTCTATTGTCACAAACACTGGACCCTTTCTCACCTGTGATGGCTTCAGCCCATACTGACTTCAATATATACTTGTTCCCTTGTTAAAGCTTTGTTTCTTAAACTTATTTATAACAGTTAATAAACACAACATAAGCTGCTAGAATACAGGATATAGATATATGGAGGCACAATTCCCAGCCAATGTTAACTTTTGTTATTATTAAGATATATTTGTTCTACTATTAATGAATTAAAATTCCAGTTAAAAGTTTCATCATCTAGGGCCTACAAACTAAGACAGATATGCA